CAAGCAAGGAGCTTCTGGAAGCACTTGAACCTCACATACACAGCAGCCTCCCTCTTAGCTGTGGCTGGACAGGATAATCACCAAGGATATTTTTTTAATTTAATTTTATTTTTTTTCAGTGTTCCAAGATTCATTGTTTATGCACCACACCCAGTGCTCCATGAAATACGTGCCCTCTACAATACCCACCACCAGGCTCACCCAAGCCCCCACCTCTCCCCTCCAAAACCCTCACTTTGTTTCTCAGAGTCCACAGTCTCTCATGGTTTGTCTCCCCCTCCAATTTCCCCCAACTCACTTCTCTCCATCTCCCCATGTCCTCCGTGTTATTCCTTATGCTCCACAAGTAAGTGAAACCATATGGTAATTGACTCTCTCTGCTTGATTCAGCATACTCTCCTCCAGTCCTGTCCATGTTGATACAAAAGTTGGGTATTCATCTTTTCTGATGGAGGCAGAATACTCCATTGTATATACGGACCATATCTTCTTTATCCATTCATCTATTGAAGGGCATCTTGGCTCTTTCCACAGTTTGGTGACTGTGGCCATTGCTGCTATGAACACTATGAAAAGAAGATGACCCTTCTTTTCACTACATCTGTATCTTGGTAAATACCTAGTAGTGCAATTGCAGGGTCATAGGGAAGCTCTATTTTTAATTTCTTAAGGAATCTCCACGCTGTTTCCCAAAGTGGCTACACCAACTTGCATTCCCACCAACAGCGTAAGAGGGTTCCCCTTTCTTCACATCCTCTCCAACACTTGTTGTTTACTGTCTTATTAATTTTGGACATTCTAACTCATGTAAGGTGGTATCTCAATGTGGTTTTGATTTGAATCTCCCTGATGGCTAATGATGATGAACATTTTTTCATGTGTCTTTTAGCCATTTGTATGTCTTCTTTGGAGAAGTGTCTGTTCATGTTTTCTGCCCATTTTTTGACATGATTATCTGTTTTGCGTGTTGAGTTTGAGGCATTCTCTATAGATCTTGGATATCAGCCCTTTGTCTGTAGTGTCATTTGTGAATATCTTCTCCCATTCCGTGGGTTGCCTCTTTGCTTTGTTGACTGTTTCCTTTGCGGAGCAGAAGCTTTTGATCTTGACAACATCCCAAATGTTCATTTTCACTTTTGTTTCCTTTGCCTTTGGAGACATGTCTTGAAAGAAGTTGCTGTGGCTGATGGTCAAGGAGGTTACTGCCTATGTTATCCTCTAGGATTTTGATAGATTCCTACCTCATGTTGAGGTCTTTGATCAATTTTGAGTTTATCTTTGTGTATGGTGTAAGAGAATAATCATCTAGGATAATTTTAAAAGCACACCCACAAGCATTGTGTTTACTTGGCATGTATATGTGTATTTAAAATACTCCTCTTCCACTTCTCTTCCCTTCCTGAAAAGTTCAGTCCTAAAGCCATATAGTGTAGCAAAGCAAAGGGGCATCTGCAATGGACAGGTGGGGACATTGGTAGGACCCAGAAGACCAAAGCCAGAGTGTCAGAGCCAGTAGGATGAAGAGGACAACTTGGAGGCAGGGTGACAGCAGAAGTGGAGAATTGCTTACATGGGCGGGGGGGGGGGGGATTTATCAAGTAAGGAAATAGTTTAAGACTAATAGAAACCAAGTTGCTCACTGTTGGAGATGGGAGTTAGAGTAGAATTAACATTGGGGTATTAGATTGGAATGGGAGTTATCAGTGGACTCTAAGTTAATAGAAAGATGACAGATGGAAGTATCTGTGCACATGTGTGAGTGTACACACAAAACACACATGCCTTCACTCCATTCACTGCATCTAGAAGCAATGACAATCCAATAGTGATGATTATATTTTGGCTTCTAAACACCACTATCCACTATTTAAAAACAAACAAACAAACAAACAAAAACAAAAAAACAAACAAAAAATCCTTAGAGAAATGGCTGAATCCAAGGCTGAGGCAGAGAAGGTACAAAATGAACCTGGATAAAGAAAATGTGGTACCTATATACAATGGAATATTACTCAGCCATCAAAAAGAATGAAATCTTGCCATTGACAGTAACATGGAAGAAATTAGAGGGTATTATGCTGAGTGAAAGAAGTCAGTCAGAGAGGGGTGCCTGGGTGGCTCAGTGGGTTAAGCCTCTGCCTTCAGCTCAGGTCATGATCTCAGGGTCCTAGGATCGAGCCCCACATTGGGCTCTCTGCTCAGCAGGGAGCCCACTCACACTCCCACTGCCTGCCTCTCTGCGTACTTGTGATCTCTATCAAATAAATAAAAAATCTTAAAAAAAAAAAAAAGAAGTCAGTCAGAGAAAGACAGCTATCATATGATTTCACTCCTATTTGGAATTTAAGAAACAAAACAGATGAACATGGGGAAGGGAAGGAAAACTAATAAGATATAAAATAAAATAAGACAAACCAGGGGCGCCTGGGTGGCTCAGTGGGTTAAGCCTCTGCCTTCAGCTCAGGTCATGATTTCAGGGTCCTGGGATTGAGCCCCACATCTGGCTCTCTGCTTAGCAGGGAACCTGCTTCCCCTCCCCACCCCATCTCTCTGCCTGCCTCTCTGCCTACTTGTGATCTCTCTGCCAAATAAATAAATAAAATCTTAAAAAAAAAAAAAAAAGACAAACCATAAGAGACTCTTAACTCTAGGGAACAAACTAAGGATTGCTGGAGGGGGATGGGTAGGGGGATGGGGTGATTGGGTGATGGGCATTAATGAGGGCACGGGATGTAATGAACATAAATTCAACTTCTGAAACTGATAATATGCTATATGTTAATTAAATTGAATTTAAATTTAAAAAAATGTTAAAAAGATGAACCTGGGCCATATTCTTGTGTCAGAAGGCTAGGAAGTCCTCTGAAAAATGGTGGGGCTATGTTACAAGGACACAGCTTGAATGAGCCACACTGACCCAACTAGGGCATATTTGAGCATCAAAATCATCACTAATAGATTATAACTCATTGAATGAACTAGAAGCCAGGAATGGGGTATCAATAAATGTATCAAGATTTGGTGAGGAGTAGTATATGTGCAGAGATTTGAAATTCCTCTCTACAAAATGCTTATTAATGACAGAGGGGAATTGAGTAGCTCTGTAGGAGGAAGCCTAACAGATGATCTGAGGGGAGTGGCCCAAGTCAATATCACCAGTAATGGGACAGTCCAAAGATCCAGGACACGTGATAGGATGCTGTGAGAAGGGCACAGCATAATCCAATACAATCTAATCACAGGAAATAGAGGAGCCCAAACTAAGGACATGCTACAGAATACCAGGCCCATAGTCTTCAAAAGTGTCAAGGTCACAAAAGTCAAGGAACCCATGAAAAATGTTCTAGACCAAAGGAGTCTAATGAGACACCACAGCTAAAAGCAGCACGTTGGAGTCTTGGTTTAAAAGGCATTTATGTGGCAGTTGGCAGACTGTGACTTCCCATCTGTCATGGTGATTAGATCGATCAGTGTAGTAGTGATTGGATGTACCCTTGATTTTGATGACTGTGTTGTAGTTTTGTAGAATGTTCTATTCATAAGATATGCACCTAAATTTTTCCAAGGTGCTGGATTTCAGATAGGCAAGTTACTTTCAAATGATTCCAAACAAACAGAAAAGTAATTTAATACTATATGCACCAACTTGTTGTCATTGCTGTCAAGTATTTTTAAGTGTAAAAATAAGGCATTCTGGGGCGCCTGGGTGCCTCAGTGGGTTAAGTCTCTGCTTTCGGCTCAGGTCATGATCCCAGGGTCCTGAGATCGAGCCCCACATCAGGCTCTCTGCTCAGCAGGGAGCCTGCTTCCCCCTCTCTCTCTGCCTGCCTCTCTGTCTACTTATGGTCTCTCTGTGTCAAATAAATAAATAAAATCTTTAAAAAAAAACTTCCAAAAAAAAAAAAGTAAGGCATTCTGAGTCAGCATAAATCAATCAATCGATCCTTAGAAAAAATAGGTACAATAACAACAACAAAACTTCCCAGGTCCTTGATGCATTCCTTAAGAGTCACAGTTTTTGTTTTAGAAGTAATTCAGGCTGTGGGCTATGAATGTACAGCTGTTTTCCCAGGCTGCCCGACCCTGGGTTCTCCAGCAGAGCCCCACTTGCTAGCTCTGGCCCCACCCACTCCAGCACTGACAGACCTCCCTCAGTTAATCCTGGGCATCCTCCAAGGGCTCAAGAACAAGTCCAGGTGCCACCTGAGGGTCTTGTGTGTGTCCTGCCAAAGACCACGTCAAGCTGCGAGCTCTGACTCTCTTGTCTCAATGGGCTCTTCCCTCAGGGTGGCCGGGTTGTAAAGGATATCAAGGTGACAGTCTTCTGTCCGAATATCTGAGTTTTGAGTGAATGCATTTCTTAGAGCCAGTTCTTTCCCTGAGCCTCAAACATGAGTCAGGAGTGTGAGGTGTGGAGCACCCAAGTAGCCTGGGTCAGAGTCACTCCCCTCCTGCTCTGAGGATTGAAATCCAGGTAGCCTTCTCACTGCCCTCTTCTGTTCATGGGGGACTGTTTCCTAGAAAGGCTCCAGATCTTTGTAACGTTGGACCCCACCAGCCCACATGACGTGCACAGATACACCTGTGCCCCTATGGGTAAGGCTTCAGCTCAAGCTGCTGGATATAGGAATAACCCAAAAAAGGAAGCCTCAGCCCTCCTGCCCCCCCTGCGTCCTTATTAAGTGCCTTTAGATAATTAGCCCCATATTGCCTTGTGCTCTGGGTGGGCTGCTTTGTCACCAAGGGAACCTTGTCTTAAAGGTGGCCAGCAACTGTCACCAGCAGCTTCTCTCCCATTGTCCCCTGAGACCATGGCAGGTAGGGGTGAGGAGCTGGGGCTAGTGTTTTTGCTGTCAGTGGGTGGCATGGCAGGGAGGGGGTCTCCGAGGGGGCCTCCAAGGACCTCAACAGGCAAGGTCCATGGAGGTCAAATCTGGATGGAGGGTGTTGTCTTCAACATCTCCCACCCTAACTCAGGCTTGCTTTGCTTTGTCTCCTAGTGTGGACAACTCTGAGGACCCCGTGTACGAGAGTCTAGAGGAGTTCCATGTGTTTGTCCTCGCCCATATATTAAGAAGACCAATAGTTGTCGTAGCAGATACGATGTTGAGGGACTCAGGTGGAGAAGGTAAGTTAATACATTAATAAAACAGCCATATATGACGCATGATCCAGAAAACATAACAGCCCAGCTAAGGAAGAGACAGCCTAACATATCGGTTGAGGTTCCCAGAAGGCCACAGAGCCTCATTCTGCAGGGAGGAAGATTCTAGTATTCCTCATTTCTCCTCAACTTGATGTGTTTCTTTTTCTTCCCCAGTGGCAGGAGGGGTTATCTTCGCCACCCACCCATCCACCTAGACTTTGTGTCAATGGCAGGTAGCCAGGGGGAATCTGGCTGAGTGACCACTGGAACTAAATCCAGCCCCTGCCCATGTGCTCAGGATGAGGCAGAGAGCTCACACCCCACCAGGGATGCCAGACCTCCTCCCAGCCATCAGCGACTCTAGTCCTCTCCTGCCCCTCGGCAGGCTACATATGTCAAAAAGAAAAGAGAAAAAAAAAAAAAAAAACAGAAAGCATGAGGTCACAGGGCAGAATGTGGACTGGGGAAGAAGGAAAGAAGAGGAAGGCTGCTTATCTCCTTCCCCCCAAGAGCCAAGTGCTGGTTCTCACAGCCCCTTTGCCTGTGTTCTCTCCCTTGGCCCTCTCCGCACCCTCCCAGGGTAGACACTGAAGCCCAGAGACACTACACAATGTGCCCCAGCCTCAACTAAGGCCTTGAAGGAACCAGGTCACCTCAGTGCAGGGAAATGCCTGGGGTGGGTCCTCCCTCCAACCTTTCTGCCAGATTGAATGGCAAGGCCACTTGAGAAGTCCATGGGGCAGCCATGCTATCTGAAGAGGAGGGAAAGAAGAGGGGCCAGGGAGGGTGGGCCAGGAAGTTCACCCCCAGTGTGACTGCCCCAGCCTCTCAACAAAACCCCCCATTTCCAACCCCTCCCAGACTGTTTTCACCTTCCCTTCACTTCCATTACCAGCACAAGCCAGTCCCTTTCAGCACCACGTTTCCCACTCATCACTTCTCAAAAGGGTCTCCTTGATAGGCAAATGCCAGACAGTGACTTTTCCCTCCAACTTAACTTAAATTTAAACCTGAACCTTAACAAAAGTTGTGGGACTTCCAGACGGTCCTGCAAACCAGGATGAGGCTCTTCATGCTAAATCACAACTGACAAAGGAAGTCCAGTGGGGCCACGGCTGTCATGGTGGGAGAGAACTGGGACTACATTGGTCTTGCCCAACACCACATCCTTCCCTGTGCAACCCAGTGACAGGGGTGGCTGAGATCTTCAGCCTCTCTGGGTACAGAGCCAGGACCCTCACTGGGGCCCCTGGGCACATGAACCTGTACCCTTCAGATCCCACAAGACTTGCTCAGTGCTTCTTTCCATCCCACCTGTGCTCAAGAGGAGACCTACCCCACCTCTCAGCCCATGGACAGAGCCACAACCAAAAACCAGTGTTTTGGGTTTTTTTTTTTTAATTTCTTATTATGTTCAATTAGCCAACATATAGTACATCAAAAAAATTTAAAAATAAAATAAAATAAAGAAAATTACACAGTTAGAAAAAGAAAATTGCATGGTTAGTATTAATACCCAAATGATCTAATACTGAAACCCACATTCCTCAACATATGCTTATTGCTTTCCATAAAAGATTTTAAAGTAAAAGAACAAAAAATAAAACTTTTTCAAGTTGTTTAAGAAGAAAAACAAAACGGTGCAGGGCTTTATCCTGAGGAACACTGAAGAGTTCCTCAAAAGCATCACGGAACATACTGTTGTTGCATTCAGCTCACAGAAATATGGTGAGTGAGTCATTGATTCCAAGGCCAAGAGGCAAAGTTCTTTATGATTAAAAAGCATGTGCTATATTGGGGCAGATATTTCTGGGAGTCATTCTATTTTAGTGAGGGTTTAAGTCTCTCTTCCTTCTCTTTGATGAGTAAGGAAATGAACAAGATTATGTTCCCATTGCTAAAGGAGCCAATCCCTATCTCTCATTTCCCATCTGACTCACACTTTGGTTCTGGAGTTTTCTGGTTGGTTCATTTGGACTCAGCAGAAGAACTTCTCAAAATATACAACAAGCAAGCATAGATTTTGTCCTGGATACAAATGTTTTCATGAATACATGGAGAGGAAGACACTCATCCAGAAAAACATGGATTCCCAGGCAGTCATCAGTGTATGTCATTGCTCACCGTTGTGAGTTCTTGGGCACCTGTGCAATTCTCAGGACAGCATGCTGTCCCTGGGAAGATCACAGCTAAAAGCCCTCAGCCCTGTCCCACTTGTCCCCAGGGTGCAGTCTGACAGAGCCAGGAGGACTCTGCCATGGAGGCAGAAGGGAGTGAGGGGTTCCCCAGGCATGCGTGGGACTGCAGGTCTCATCCCCAGGTTCTTGTGAGCCTGAGCTTTCTCACCCATTGCCACGTGGGCAACACCCAGCCTGCCACCGTGTGGGTGGGGTGGCTGAGTCCTAAGGCCACGGTCTGAGACCACTGTCCCTTCCCTGGGCCCCACCACATCATGCAGTGTGGTGAGGGATACCACCTGCGTTCCCTTCAGGCTCCACATGCCCTCACCATTTCTGTCCACAGCATTTGCTCCAATCCCGTTTGGAGGGATTTACCTGCCCTTGGAGGTGCCTCCCAACAGATGTCACTGCTCACCTCTGGTTCTTGCCTACGACCAAGCACATTTCTCTGCCCTTGTGTCCATGGAGCAGAGAGATCAGCAAAGAGAACAAGGTATGTCCGCTGCCACCTGAGAGACAATGTGCAGGGCAAAGGTGGGCATAGGAGGGCATGGGGAGGCAGAATGCGGGGTCCTCCATGGGGAGCATCCCCACGTACACTCAGTAGTGACGGGTTTCATGTGTATATGGTATATAAGTGGGTATGTATGTATTGGAATGGGTATGTTATTGGAAATAACAGTGTTAAAGACAACGTTTAATTTAAAATACAAAGCAAATTATTAATTCCCACCACACTTAAATAGCCCTTACTATTTTCCCCTTTCACATGTATGTATATTTATATGGATATAATTCATCTCAGACGTAATTTTTTTTTAAGTCCCTAGAGCAGAGGTCAACAAACTATGGCCCACTGCCTGTTTTCGTAAATATAGTTTTATTGGAACACAGCCACACTCATTCCTTGATGTATTATCTGTGGCTATTGTTTTTGCACTACAAGGGCAAAGTTGAGTAGTAGCCACAGAGACTGTGTGGCCTGAGGAGCCTAAAATATTTACCAACTAGCACTTTTTGGAAAAACTTTGCCAACCTCTGCTCTAGAGTAAGCTTTTGAATCAAAACATTGGTATTCTCTTTCAAATTATTACAACTGTTTCCCTGAGGTAGTCATTTCAGTGCAGCAGACAGGCTCACCAGGCCAGTCACACAGACCGTGCACTGCACAGTTCCAGGCCACCAGTCATTCATGCGGAATCTCTCTTCCATCAGTGCAATATGCATTTTTGCTGGGAAACGGTGGGATTCTGATTGGAATGGTTGTTGTTTTCTCATGTTAACTATTGACTAGCTGAGTGAAGAGGGGAAAACTCATCCTCTTGTCACCTGTTTCTGGTTTGGACAGAGAATCCCCCAAGAGACTAAAAGACAGGCAGGACTGGCAGTTTCAGGACCCTGACTTTGGAGGTGGTCTCAGGAAATGCATGGTGGCTAGTCACGCAGTGATGTGAGTCCCAGAAGGAAAAGGAGAGCAGGGTTGCTGCAGCTGTAGTGGGAATATAACATTTTTCCACATCATTTACAGACATCTCACTTGGGTCACAGCAAACAATATTTAGCCATGAAAGCCTGAGAGGCATTTCTGCCTTTTCTGTCTGCCTTCTGGTCTTTGTGGGATTTAGCTCTTCTCAGTGCTTACCACAGCCCTTGGGCAATGGGGGGCCCTTTCTCAGGCCCTGGGGTCCCAGCCAGGATCTAGGCCCCTCTGTGCAGTCTCCCCAGAGATTCTCTTCAGTCAGGGAAAATGAAAGTCCCGGGGCTGGCATCTTCGGTTGTTGGGCAGAGGGCTCAGATGTCCAGCCCCCTCCTCACAGAGGGCTTTGAGCTTTCTTCTAGGCCTTCCAGGTACTACTTTTTGGTGTTTCAAGGTGAATATGCTGGTGCCCCTCAATGAAAGGATGAAGGTGGAAGGGCTATCACTTGACTTCTCTCAGGGAAGTATTGCAGAAGTGAGAGTGGTCTCACCTCTGACAACTTATTTTTCCCAAAGTTGAGTTTTGGTCCCGGTCCTTGGTTCCATGTGTCTGAGCCATGGGTTCCTGTAGCTCTGCCCACTGGGTTACTCCTCAGAGCAGTGGGGGTCCCTGCCTCCACTTTTGTGGCCAGGGCTGCCCATCGAGCCATCCAGGCCCCGTGAGCCACTGCAGGCAAATACTCCAGTGCCACCTTCTGCACAAGCAGAAGCAAAGCACGTATAAGTGGCTCCCACAGGCTGGGTAACTTCTGTGCAGTGTGTCAGACCCTCATACAGTTGGAGAGAACATAAGTGCTCTGCAAACTTTTAGGCTTTGGGTATTGCTAGCAACTGTTCCCTGTGCCACCCTTGCCAAGCTAGGGGGTTCTGGCAGGCATGACCCTGCTCCCCGCACCACATATAAGCCTGAAGTTCAATGGTCCTGCATTATTTGTTTGGAGGGCCAAAGGTTAGTTCAGTAAATGTATGTCAAGCATCTGCCACATTCAGGTTTGGGGCCCCAAAGATGAGGGCATCCCTGTGTTAGGGTTCTCACTACCTTGTAGGGGAGACAGGCAACCCCACCAAGCCACAGTACAAGGCGGACTATACACCAAGCAGGCAGCAGCTGTATTCAGGAAGGGAGCAATTATTCCAATTTGGAAGAACAGACAGAGAGACCCAGACACAGGTGGGTTAGAAGTAGTCTTGGAGGCTGTGTGTGATGTCCAGAGGCTGGCAGGAGACAGAATAGGCCTAAGTTCTGGGTTGCTGAATGAGTGTTGCTGTAGAGAGAAAGCATATGCGGTTAGAGTGTGGGTGTGGAAAGGCCTGGGAGCTGCTGCTTCCTTGCTGTGTGGTGTGAGGGGTGCTGTGTGACCTCCCAGCCTGCTTCCTGTCTGTGGGCCAGGGCAGTGACACCCACCTCCCCGGATGCTGAGCCCTTTCACCTTCCCCGCCCTGCCCTAGATCCCCTCACCCCCACTGAAACACATCACCACTTAACTATGAAGTGACCATTGCAGGACAGTCCCTCCATGCACTGAAGTCCTCAGTGGCCTTGCAGATAATCACTAGGAAACAGCATTGCCTATCCTAAGGCAGTCCTATCTCCTTATCCTTCAATGCTGCTTCAAAGATAAACCTAAAGGTATTGACCGTATCCCTTCCTGTCCACAGTTAGTGTCCAGTGTGCCCCTCAAAAGGACCTGTTGAAGGTGGGAGGAATAGAGAGGACCTGTTAAGAGAACCATCGCCAGAGAAAGCCAACCCCTGGGGCTCCTCAGGAGCACTCTCCTTCTTTCCTGACCTACAGCAGAGACTGCAGGGGCCCTTTTGCAAATACCTGATCCTAGCATTTCAGTTATTACTGTTACCTGGTGGTTGGAATACTGGAGAGAAGCTGAGAGATCAGGAGCCCATATAAGGGACAGACTCAGCCTCTCTTCCCAGCCCTTATAATGCAAGGAAAATGGAATAAAACACAGAAAGTTATGCTATAAGACCTCCCAAAAGGAGATGTGTCCCGAATAACACGGGGCTGCAAGGGACTCATAGGGAAAAGGGGCCACTGCTGCCTCTCTAACAGAGAGTCCCTCTGAAGTGGGTGGTCCAGGGATAACACAGCAGTTCTAAGTATTCTCAGGGATTCAAGTTTCTGGTCTCTCCCTGATCCACCATTATATTCCTGTGGTTTTATCCTCATGGTCATAAAATGGGTGCTGCCACTCCAGGCATCACATCCAAATACCTTCCCTTCCTGCAAGTTTATCTTTTCATTTAGGGAGAAAACCTTCCCAAAGGACTTGTGTTGGCCTCTTGATAACCAAAGCTGAGTTCCACGCCTACAGTTTCCGGGCTGTAGAGCCGTCTGACAAGGGAGTACAGCAAAGGAAGGAGGGGGCGAGGTGGTTGGTGGGGGTTCAGTGAGCCAGCTCTGAATCAGGGGGTAGCGTGATGTTTTAGCAATTCCATCTGGATTGTGCTCTTTCTTTCGGCAGGGTTGAGTACCTTCTATCTGGGGAAAGGCAAAAGTATAGAAAGAATTCTTTCCAACTGGCCTCTTGTCAGAAATAAATCACTGTTGACTCTTGGGCTCTTGAGCCCTTAAAAAGCCATGGTGCATGAGGCTTTCAGCCCCACTCCTTAAAAGAAAACTCCCTGTTCTCTTTAAACACAGGGAAAGAAACAGGCTGTCCTGCAGAAACACTGAACACCCTCGAGTCTTGTGGTTCAGGGACACCCACAGGCTCCATGCAGTCCTGGCTGTGGCCAGTGCCCCCATGGGAGGGGGAGGCATTGGGGGTCCTGCTGGGAGAGACTCTGGGGCCAGGCAGCTGACTAGATGGTCTTGTGCCCCCACATCTGAATACCACCTGGCAGTTTCATGTTCAGAGGCTGTCTCTCCTCAAGCCCTGGGCCTGTGCCAGGATCCTCTCAGACAAGAGCACAGCTCTGGACCCATGACCTTCCAAACCCTTCTGAACTGAGAACGTGGCCAGGCATGAGGGCTTCTCTCTCTGTCCTTAAAGTAAGCCTCCGTAGCTCTGTGGCTCTGTGCCTTCAGGCTGTGTTGGACTCTGTCCCCAGACAGCACCTTTTTGGAAACAGGAAGGCTTTGCATTGCTGAAGTCACCACCCGGGCTAGCATCCTTGACGGCAAGGATGGGCAACTGAGGGAGAGGAGATTTAGTGGGAAAGCTGTCTTTCTCTCCCTTGGCCCTGTCCTGCCATGTGTCTTTCTCCATTCACAGAGCTCCCTGGAGCCTGTTAGAGCCCCTTCAGCAGCAGGTAACCAGCTCAGTGTGGCTTAGACAGGAAGGGTGTTTGTTCTCTTCCAACCATCTGGAATCTGGCAGGCCCCACGGGACAAAGGAAGCACTTCAGGGATGTCCAAAATGACTAAGGCCCTCTGTCCCACCCTGTAGCCTCCTCACCTTCCATGCAGGACAAGCCACTGACACCATCCCCAGCATCAAGCCAGTCCTGTTTGCCCCCAAACACCTGTGTCTGAGAGCATGGCTAGATCCAGGGTAGGAAGTATACACCAAGATCCCAGAGCATCTTGTCCTAGAAGAAAACGAGACACCCTCAGGAACCACCAGGGTGGTGTTAGAAGGATTCCTGGGCTGACTGGACACGCCCCCCACAGGACAAGAGGGACAGTGAGGATCATAGCTGGAAAGAGAAGAAATATGACAAAGATCCTTCAGTCCACAAATTCATAATGATACTCAGGGAAAGGCTCACTTACCACCTCTGAAGGGTGCTTGGTGCCACACATAACTTCGGAAACTGGTAAATAGTAGGAAAGGATCAGCCAGAATCCCGCATTCCCTCATGAACTGGTGAGGGGATTTTGCTCTGAGTTGAGGTATCCCCACGTATCGTGAAAGGAGAGGCAACAGCATTGTTGAGGGCTGACTTCATCTGTTGAAATCCTAACCCCTATTCCTCAGGATGTTACTGAATTTGGAGACTGGGCCTTTTGAGGGGTAAAGTGAGGTCATGGGGGTGAACCCTAATCCACCTGACCG